GAGAGAGAGAGAGAGAGAGAGAGAGGAAGAGATTAAACTTGCTCAGATGAGATCTGTGGAGCAGAATTTGAATTGCGTCCCAGGAGAAAAGCAGTATGTACAGATTGCGAGGTGCACATGCAAACAGTATAACATTCACTGTACTGTGGGCGTTTTATGTATATGAGTAGTGCTAATGTGTGTGGGTGATGGTAGGAACAGAGGTTCACTACTGTTTGTGTGTTTCTCAGCAGCTATATTCAGGATGTTGTTTATGTGAAGCCTCCTGTCAATCAGGTCCGGTCTTAAACCTACATTACAAGTTACAGTATAATATACAAGTACCTTGAATATGTGAGCCTTGAGGATGTGGTGTCCCAGTTCCATGGTCTGCTGCCGGTTCAGTTTGCCCTCCTGTCTGGAGAACATGAAGGCCAGGAGGGCGTGGCCACTCCTGTGGACATGCACACACAGGAATGGTTTACAAAATCAGGCAAGCACTTATCCACTTTTTAAAATATCCATGTTAAGAATCTTCTGCTGTGTGACATGTGTGACTTCTGGGCTCACCTTGGCTCACAAAGAAAGTCCGTGCTCTCTCCGTCTGCTCTCCAAACCAGCCACTCTCTGAAGGAGGGATGACACAGCATCCGTGTGCCATCCCTGCGTCGGACCTGCAAACAAATAGATGCAGAACAGTTCTTCCATTACTCGACATGCCACACCCCAGGACACAGAGAGACAGTTAGTCTTTTAGATTAAAACTATACATTCGTCCATGTCAGTTATTTATTTCACAGCAAAAACAAACACAACATTCAAACCAAACAAAAGCTTGAATCATTCTGTTCTCTTCCGTGCAGTCATACCAGGAGTCTTACCATGAATCCAGCCAGGCTGTCTAATCTCTGCTGGAAGTCCTTCCACTCCAGCCCCCCCCTCACACAGCCTGCATTCAGTGCCCTGAACATTTGCTCATCAGTCAGTGGGTGCAGAGAAGCCAGCGCCACATTTAGCACCGGGAGAATCCGTTCAAAGAGCTCTTTATCCGGAAAGCTCACACGACACATCAGCAGGTACACCTGTCAGATATTCAGAGGTTAGCGTGTGTTGGTAATGAAGCTGTCGCACTGTGATGACTTTATATTCTACCACCAACTGCTTATTATTTTTGTATAGTTTATTTGAAGCTGAAATGTGCAATTTTTCATCAAAATTAAAAATGTAAAAGTCTGTTGCTGATTGTTCACACCTACACTCATTTTCTGTGGATGTGACCAGCACTGAGATTCTTTGTTTGTTTGTCGAACGCAAAAACCACTGAGCAGATTTCCATGAAACTTGGTGGAAGGATGTGACACGGTCAAAGAAAGAACACATTAAATATTTGAATCCGAACAAACAGCAGATTTAAAAAAAATATTTACTCTAACATTGTGTGCTTTGATATTTGTGCCACTTTAATAGAATAATAAATGGATCTTGAAGAGAAAAAAAACGGCACACTTTGGGAGCTGACTTGTAAAAGTGTGTGTGTGTGCTTTGGTGTGTATTGATAGAATAAAATGGGACAGTCGGGCCTTGGCAATGATCTTCTATTTGACCTTAAAAGTGTAAAATGATCAAATCATCAGTTCTTAAATATCAGGCATTTGTGTCATGGTGATTGGAGCTTCCAGTTCATATCTCTCAAACTCAATTATATTGGAACTTCACAATGTTACTAACTGGAAGTAAAACCTGCAACATTCTGATGAGGATCCCATTGATTTATCTAGATCCATTAATTATTCTCTGAGAGTTAAACAAAAATGTGACAAATACGTCCTATTTTGCAACCTTAAAGAAAAAAAAGTATCCTGGATCCGTTCTCTGATCTGGATTCACACCAGAACTCCAAAGGTTGTTTCCTAACCTTCAACACATCCTTCACCAAGTTTCGTGGTTATGTGTCTGGTAGTTTTTGCGTAATGCTGCTAACTAACAGACAAACGCAGATGAAATCATGATGTAATTAAGTCATGGTGATAACAACAGTGAAAGAAAAGAAAAACAAAGCTACATTTTTCTTTAAAAGCAGTTTAAATGATAAATATTACAAACTAATCCATGAACTACTTCTACACAAACTCTCATATTGAACTGTGACCACATTTTTAACACACCTTTATGCAAGCTTTTTCACTTCCATTATCCCATCATTAAATCATCCCGTTTCGGAGCCTTTGTGTGTTTAACACTTGCTCTTCTGTTGTCCCATTTAAATGAGATGATTATGTATCATTAATGACACACCTGCCATTTACTTCAGTCACTGTGGGCTATTTTCTGGCGTTGATCCTTTCATTATTTTACATCTTGTATTAATTTGAATAGTGTGTTAAGTGCACCTTTTCTCTTTTGTTCAGGTGAAACATGGCCGAACAATGGTGGTTGCCTTTGGATCTTTTGTGGGAGTTTATAGACGCTGATTGCTTCATCCTCGGGCGAGCGATCTCACCCAGGATGATTGACAAGTGTAAGACCGGGAACCTGATCAGATAAGGAGGACGACGAGGGCGGGTCCAAAAATACACTCAAGGTAAGATGTGTCTTTATAGCTCCAGAGAATTTATTGCTATGTGAATCTGATCACTTCATAAAACACACATGGTGGTTTCGCAAATATACTTTTTGTTAGATGAAGCATAACACGCTACAACTTTAAGTGCAATTATGGATGTTTCAAAGCTTTTTAAACCACATTTAAATTCACTAGATCTAGATTTATTTGGATCTGCATGCACAAAACTGCTCACACTCATATATACTGTTCACCTAAATTTTTGGAACTTTGATCATGTCCCACCCGTCCACAAAATGTCATGAACGAAGATGAAAACAAATGCTTGTTGGAAATCAGTGCTACATTTCCTGACCTCTGACAGGGAGACAGGCACCACCAGGTAGTTTCCTCCTTTCAGAGCCAGGTGACTTTTGTGGAACAGGTCCAAGGTCAGCTGAAGATAAAGGATGGAGCCGTGGCTCCGTGTTGACAGGTGGCTGCTGAACTTGCTGAGGATCAGCGGATCGGGGGCAGAGCCTGTTGGCGTGGTGACGTTGGAGGCGACCTGGGTGCTGCTGCTGACCCGGTGATGGATGTAGTCGCTGAGGTCCGCTCCCAGGTCACTGCTGTCGGGCAGGATGTCCAGAGAGATGCCAGAGAAGGGAAGGAGGGTGGTGATTTCCTGCAGAAGAAGAAAACAGATCAGTAGAGCGCACACCTCCAGCAAGGCCAGCAGTCCCCCTTAAGTCAATCAAGCTGCACCAAGTTACACACACACAGATATGGTATCAGTCCCCTGTATATGCTTGATTTGTTTATCTAGATCCATGCATTATTTATTGCAAGGAAAGTGGTTGAAAATGTAAAAGGAGGGATTTAAATCTAGATCCACACCAAAATTAAATGGTTTATTTTGGTCCATGGCCCGCCCCTCTATCAAGTTTCATGGAAATCCATTCAGTTGTTTTTGTGTAATCCTGCTGACAAACAAACCAATGGATGGGGGGGGGGCATAAAACTGACGCACGGGCACGAACAGCCGAGCATTCACAGAATTGTAGGTGGCGTGTCTTTGGTGCATTAGCAAAGGACAAACTAAAAGCACCAAAATCAGGCCCCGTTCCTCAGATGCTGTTGCGGCTGACTCACACAGAGCCATGGGATACAGTACAGTAAATGGTGTGACAATGACTCAAGCTCCAACATTGCTCACAGGCATCTCTCAGATTCACATTTCATCTGCTCTCATGCCATCCTCAACTGCTCCACACCGGCCAGAACCAGCTATGACGGATCACAAAAAGGGCCCGTGTTACTGCGGCTCAGCTCCTCGTTAATAAAGAATGACATTTTGGTTTAACAACAAGTAATTGACTTGGGTCCGCGGACTGCGCTCCGCTACAACTTTTCACGAGTGTTATCCAGGTTGTTACACATGAGTAAGCGCTTCCTGTTAAATGGCTGGTGAAAAGGCTGGGATACGAAAGGTGCAACAACAGCGGGACTCTTCCATCTTTACATATTTAATGTTTGCTTCAAATGCATCATGAGGAAAGTGACCCCAAATGTGTTTTGTGTGTTCTCAAACACTAATCCAATTATATAACTGCCTGGCTGGCTGCCTGGCTTCCTGTCAAGCTCCAGACTCCCCAGCAGACTCTCTGTAGTATTACCATCCATTCAGGGAGTAATCCATGCAGCATTTGGAGACTTGGCTTTGGCACTGGACAGATGCGTCTGCTGGTTGGTGGGATTACTGACCGGATTGAGAAAATACATCAGACTGGAGAGCTCAACAGTGCCGAAAGCCACATTGTCTATATACCACGACAGTAAAAGCACAACGTTAAAAGTAGACAGTCAGTGAATGGAGCTGAGAGGGAAGATGCAGATACTGGGAATACCTCTGATTCAGGTGATGAGAGGGAGGCTGAGACTTAAAGGTCCAGTGTGTAAGATTTAGGTGAAAGGGAACTATTGGCAGAAATTTAATGTAGAATAATCCTCATGATGTTTTCACTAGTTCATTTCATCTAAATTGTATGAATTGTAGTTTTCTTTACTCCAGAAAAGGTCCTTTATATTTAAATACTTTATATTTACATCGAGGGGACCCTCTCTACGGAGGCCGCCATGTTTTTTACATTAGTCCAGACTGAACAAACTTAACACCTTTTGAGTTTTTATGACAATTAAAGTCTACCACAGTTTCTTTTTCATGTTAGGAGGGAGAGGGTGAGGTGAGGGGTGTTCAGCTGCAACATGCAATTTCAACACTAGATATCACTAAATTCTACAAACTGTACCTTTAAAAGGTCAGTTCAACCAATTTACAAAATTTAATTTCCTCACTTTACTCACCTTTATCTTATCGATGACATAGCTCTAATCTAATTAAATTGTACACTGTTCACCTGTCAAGGTTTAGCTAGCTGCTCGAAGGGCAATAATAAAAGTGCTGCAGAGAGGAAAGAATAATTGGGCACCGAAACTCCAGTAATTCACTTAACTGATATCTGACCCACATCACTAAACCAAGTATTGATCCAGATTTCAAAGCACTAATTAATTAATTAATTGGTAATCACACAGTTCCACAAAGATAAACATTGGTCCTGACTCTCTTATTATTCTTGAACTCATGCATAAAAATCAATTTACTAGAGGTGTAATGCATTGCTGAGCACTGGATATTCAAAACATTAAAGCAGTTGCCATAGCAATCTGCAGTCCTTCACTTGTGTGGATGAGAATATAAATTGCTTTGGAATACATTTAAATCCAATGCATTTTTATATTCATTACTCTTTTATTATGAAATGTTTGGTTTGCTACAGTCTCATGTAACTTTAAACACAACAATACTACTACTACTACTACTACTACTACTACTACTACTTCTTATAATAATAATATATTTTTTAACATTGATCTGCACATCTCTAATTAATACAATGATAAAGATGGATAGGGTGCCACCAGACAGTCTTACTGCTGCTGGTCAACTGTTGCACTGCACCAAAAAAAAAAAAAAAAACATTCACCCAAAAAAGAATTAGGTCAATTATTACTCTTCTCATTATTAATTTATAAACCAGAAAGGATTTTCATTTACAACATTTTCCCAGGACCCAGAAAATGTATTTTTATGTGCATGTAATGTAAAAAAGAAAAAGTCTCACTCACCACGAGGCCTGTCCGGACTGTGACCACCAATTTGAGCCAGTGTGGAAACTTGGAGATGATTTTGGTGATGAACGTGGCGATGGTGTCCCCATAGTCTGGTTTATGGAACTCTGCCTCATTAAGGCTGTCGACCAATATGATGTAGTCTTCTTCAGGCAGCCTCCGCTCTGAATACACATAAAAAAAGAGAAAACTGAGGTTGAAGCACATTCAAACACCTGGTAAGTCACATTAAAGAGCATGAAATTAAGAAGAATGGAGCACAGTTTTATGCTAGGTCGTTGATGGTTTAAAAAATGGTGCATTGTTTCCTGCACAGGATATGTCTAGAAAAGCATCAACTGTTGATATTGATCATATTCTGCTGAAAGCGGCCAGAGGCCATTGTTGTTTATTAGCTGGAAACAGAACATATCCATCATGGTTCGCATTATCTGAGCTGTCAGTGTTTCCCTGGAAGCCTGTGAGGACTCATACACTTAGGCACAAGGGCTCTCCATTTTTTACTGACCTGCTAAATAGAGATGGAGTAGACAAAACACTCCTCTACCCAGAGTGGAGGGCCCGGCCGTAATAACACATCAATCTAACTGACTGACTAACTCATGAGGAATTGAGCTGGTGAATGTGTCCGGAACATTCGTGACCACCCCAGAGTGTTTTGTGACCTTGAAATCCTGAGGGATGCTGATGATTCACCTTTGCAAAAAAAAACACTCATCATTTCCTATGTAAATGATCTAACATCTGTTTCACACACTACACTGCTTCAAATCATTGACCTTAACGAGGGAAAAATAATCTGTGGGCCCATCACTGAGTCATTAACAGGCTATTTCACTCAGGAGATGGCAGCAAGCTCCCTAATTGCAGGGTGAGGTGAGGAGACAGGTTCCACCTTAAAACTGATTCTGTTTTAAACTTTAAAATCTCTTTAAATTTAAAGAGATCACATTTGTATAAAGTGTGTGTGCATGTGTGTGTGTGTGTGTAGACTTCATTACCCTTGCGCAGGCTGGCTATCGGCTCCAGGACTCCCTTTCGGAAGGCAGCAATGGGGTCTTGGACGCAGGATCGCAGGCTGAGTGTGTTTTGTAGATGAGGCTCTTGAACCAGCAGCTCCCTGTATGGGCTAAGTTGTGGTGCTCTGGCCAGCAGGGCGGCAACGCTGTGCACAAACTCAGGTACCAGGCAGGTGTAGGTGTTGTCGGCCTGACAGAAGTGGTAGGCGACCACCTGGTGGGAGAAAGATGCAGGTTAGAAAGAAGGAACATATAGCTGCTTTTCTGTATCACACAAACTTAGCGTATTCAGGTCTCAATAAATGTTACTGTTAATGGTCAAGATAGAAATGCATTATAGAAATAGAACTTTAGCAGTGGGAAAATAAAAGTCAAAGGTGAAAGAAGAAGTCACTCATGGTAACACACAGGCTTCAAAATCAGATCATGAGGTTAAAACAACTAATGCCTCTAAACCTCAAGTCTGAATATAGAACCTGAAACTATTAACACATCTTCAACCTGTGTTTTAAACCTATTTCTTTACATTTCTCAATCTGGATTATGAGAAGTCCTGCAGCTTTGTCTGCAGCAGTTCCTGTTCCCACTGCACACACAGCAACAACCTGGATTACATTGAGAATCAAGAATTTGTCTAAATGTCATGGATCTGAACCATAGAGATAAAGATGGACGAATCTCCACTTCCTCCCACTATCCAGAAATGATGCCAAAATATCCTGGATATGAAAACTACCATCTTGTCCATTTAGAGCATCAGTCTGTGTTGTAGCGATGTCCCACCGATTAATGCTCTCAACCACTCATGAGTCTCAACTGTCAATCGAGCACTTGAGCATATGAAATATATAGAAAACTCTATTTGATGTTCACTTCGAGTTTTAATTTTGGCTCATGTCACATCCACTAACATAGAGGAGGTGGGATTTATGACCTATACTGCATCCAGCCACCAGGTGGCGATCGAGATGCTTTAGCCTCACATTTGTGGCATCGTGGGTAAATTATTTCAGTGATTTCACAGCGTATTTATGACTGTTTGACGGATATAGCGCCATCACTGATTGCAGCACTGTGTGTTTGTTTGACTTTTTGACTGATTGTGATTCTGAGAAGACGCAATGTGCTGGTTGAACAAATATATTGCACCAATTCAGATGCTGTTTGTGTCTTGTTCAGAGCCCATTTATGTGTTCGTATCTCAAGAAGAAAGACATAAAAGAAAAAAAAGATGAGAAAAACTATCTCTAAAACTAAAATCACCAAATCTAAAGACAATGAGGGTTAGAATAAAACAACACTAAGACGTGCTGTGAACACAGAAATCACAGAGGTGGCTGAGTCATAACTTAGTCTTCTCTCATTCTGCATATTACTGCAGAGCAGCTCTAAAACATGTCGGTTTATTCAGGCAACAAGCTGAATGATAAACAAAAGGGGCTGAGAAATAAAACATTCCACAAATCGTGGGGTGATATTTGCAATAAAGGAGCCAAACTGAACAAAGGCACAAAATACAAAACCACTGAGACGAATGGGGACTGTCTGGAGGATTAATAGCAGTAATCTGTCTTTTGTAAGTGCATTTCTGTGGCAAAATATACATATTTAATAGTATTCACTCGTGGGTTTATAGATCATCAAGTCCACACACACTGCACAATGACATTATCAGTGATTTTACTTTTGAGCGAACACCCTCACCATCACAAGTAGTCTGACTAGTTCCCATGGAAACTCTTATTGAGGCCAAGTTAGTAAATTTAGAAGCTTCCATGTCATCTGTGTGATGCAATCAGCAGCATGTACTACATGTGCCCGAAAGGAGAGGAAGAACCACCTGACATCAATATCAATTTAAACCGATCCCTCCTCAGTGTCTCTTTACCGAGGCTTTTAGCAGTCAAAGCTCCCCACAGTGCCTTTTATGATGCTGCACTATATGACTGCTCTTACAAATATGATGAGGGAAGGAGAAAAAGAAGAGAAATCCAGGACAATAAAAACAGCCATGATGAGAGGCTGAATCTGGATACTCCTCTAATGTAATTATGTCGTCCTGATGTCTGTTGTAAATGCAGGTGGGTCAGTCTGCTCAGCAACAGGAAGAATAACAAGATCTACAGAGAAATACATTGTGTGTGTGTGAGATACATTTTATTATATTTTACAGTCTCACCCAACGTCAGTGCCATCCACTGTGAATGGACATTTTACTATGTTACTTTATGTGTTTCTTTACGATGTGTATGTTTAACGTTAAATGTAGTAGTGACGTTTAAAGGGACAATGATCTTTTAAAGGTAACACGATCTGTCAGCACCTCTAAAGCTCAGTAAAACTTCTTTTGGGGGTTATGGGCAGACGTTCTTCAATATTACTTTAGTATCCTCTGCCTTGTACCTGTTCAGAACCAAGAAATACAAAACTGCCTCTGTAATAAAAATAATTGTCATTTTTTAAGTTTTTTTATGTATTTGTGCGTTAGTTAGCAGGATTGTGCAAAAAAATACTGAACCAATTTCCATGACATTTTGTGTAAGAGTAGGACCTGACACAAGGATACAGATCAATGGGCAGATTCAAATCTTTCTTTAATATTGCATTGAGCATTTTTCAACATTGTAATTGATTTTTCAGAGAATAATTCATGGAACAGGTGGATCCAGGAATCTTTTTCCTCTTTCTTTAACATGGCGAGATAAACTTGGAGGAGGTTTGTGCTCTGTCAGAGCGACCTTCTGGTTACACCACTTTTTATACAGATTAAAGGAACAAGACTTAATGTGATGATGACTGAGCTCTGGAGGCTATGTGTTTGTTTCCAGTCATTATGCTAAACTAAGCCAAGACAAGTGAACTGTCTCCTGGCTTCGGCTTCCTATTTAGTGCACAGACATGAAGGTGGTATTGATGGTCTCATCTCATCTAACTAGATGAGGCGCAGCAGGGGGTGTTTTGTAATTAAGAGTCCTCTCAAGTAGAGAAATACTAATGTGCGTGCATGTGTGTGTTTGTGCATGTGTGTGTCTTGAGGTACCTTGGCAGCGATGCTTCTGACAGCCTCCTTCCTCTGTACTGCACTATCGCTTGCTCCTGCAGCAGCACTCAGGTTGGGCTGGGATTCTGCTGGCTGTTTGGAGCCTGCTTTACCAGACTTATCCCCACCTGCACAGAGCACAAAGCAACAAAAACAAACCCAGAGCTGCCATTTACACTTGTTAGACGAGGCCTCGGGTGTAACGAGGTCTATGAAGAAACACAATTAAACTGCTGCAATTAATTAGAACATCTGTAAGCAAGACTGGAAATGATGGCACTAAGCAAAACCACATTGGAAAGAACCTGGAGTGTTTGTTTCACGGGGCGTAAAGAGATAATTCTGGATTCCACAAATCCTTTTGCTATAGCCTCTGTTAAATTTAAATCAAGTTGATAATGCATGGTTCAGGTATCCATAATAATACAAGGGAAAAAAGACACTGTGTTCTTTTTCAATGTTTATCGTTTATTTGAGAAACAAGAATCCCCAGCAAATCTAAAGTGCTTAATCTGGTTGTATGCTAAGTTATTTTCTTCTTTTTTTCCAGACAGAAGTACGGTTCCAGTGCCATTCATGAGAAGAAAAGAACCACAGTGAACTCAGTCCCCTTACACAACTGCAATCAGCAGAGAAACCTCAGGGGAGAACTTGAAAGAAGAGAGCATGACCCAGTTACTCACTCCTTCCCAAAAAGTGGAATTTACTCCAATATCCTACAAGAATCTGACGCTAATGTAACATACTGGAGAATCTATGACCACATTACACTGCTGTAAATAAAAGTCTTACATTTAGGGGAGGAGCTGGGGCTGTGAAGGATGCTGGGACCCCCCTGTGGCGTCCGCATGCCGTGACAGCTGAGCGTCACCAGCCGCCAGATGATGGCGGTCTTGCCGGATCCTGCGTTGCCCACGATGACAGCACCGCGTCCCTCACAGCTGCTCGTCTTCCTCAGGACCTCCTCCAGACGCGTGAACAGCCAATCCCGTCCAACGAACGCCGTTTCCGGGGTGATGCCGGGGACTTCAAACAGTAGCGGCTTCAGCATGATGTCGGCTTGTCTGAAGGCCACCAACCTCCCTGGATGGATGGAGAGGAAACAGTTAAAGCAACATAAGAATGGATAAGTATGTTTGATTTAAGTACATGTTTCTGTGTATTTACACACTGGTTAAAGGGATAGTTCACCCAAAAATGAATATTCCCTCATTATTTACTCACCACTATGCCGATCGAGGATTGGGTGAATTGTTTGAGTCCATAACACACTTTTGTAACGCCCGACACTCAAACTCTACTCAAAACGAGATCATTTACCAGTGTTTCGAGTCCAATTTGAATGCAGGGGCTCCCGGACGCTAGGATGACATCACAGGAGCAGTATGGAGGCATTTCATCAAAGAGCTTTGCAGACTCAAACACTTCACCCACCCCTCCATCGGCATAGTGGTGAGAAGATAATGAGTGAATTTTTATTTTTGGGTGAATTTATCCATTTACAAACTACCTTTGGAGTCATCACTTGTGCGTCCAGCGGTGCAGTGTTTGCGAACGGAGCCTCTGTGTCCAGTGGCTCTTTGATGGTCCAGAAAACTCAAATCCTCCAGTCGAGTGGAGCTGGTTGCTGTAAACAGAGGACGGATTGGGGAATGGATTAAAAGTGTGAGCTAGAGAGGCAGGAAATGTGCAAAGATACACATGCATACCACACAAGTGCCAAATTCGTTGCTCGAGTCAGTGATTGAGAGCCAGAAACACAAAGCGGTCAAAAGAGTTGTTTACTCCCACATTGGCCTATTTACCCACCCACTCACATTACAGAGTTTACGTGTCAGCCAGGCTTACTTTCTGCAGTCTTCAAGACATTTAGCAGAGTATTCACTTCAGACTGCATTTAAGAAATAGGCTTTCTGTAGTAAGTAAGTTCTGTGGTATAATCTGTTTCTGCTATTACAGCATATCATTACATAGAGTAATACAAAAAAATGAAAGGCTCTGTGCACTGAAACCTCATCCAGTAACAGTCCTGTAATAAAGACTATTTAATCTTTGTATTAATAAAACATTACACATTTGTTTACACTGTCAGAGAGATCTTAATTTATTTTTGAGCCTCTAGTCTCTGGGGGTTTCGTAATTTATTGCATTAATAATTATGTAGATGCAATACATTATGAATTGATAATTGGACAAAATACATGGAGGACAAAATATGCAACCATCTATCATCAATACTGCTTATCCTTCCCTCGTGGGGGGGGGGGGGGCTGGAGCCAATTACAGGTGACATTGACTGAGAGGCGGAGTGCATCAACAATGTATCGCAAGACCAACATACAGAGACAAACAACTCACACTCACACTGATGGTCAGTCTAGAGTCTCCAGTTAACCTAACCCCAAACTGCACTTCTTGTTGTGTACCAGGAGAAAACCTGGGTACTCTGCAACCCAGGAAGAACAAACCAGGCCATGACCCGAACCATTATTCGAACTGAGATGGTGCTAATCACAGCACCACCGTGCCGCCCATTGAAGACAAAATATTACAAACATGTTTCTATATATTACAGTTCATAAAGATGTCCATAGACAATCCACCACATAAGAAGTGAAGGAACTTTAGGTAAGGCTGAATTAGTTTCAGGATTCTCTAACTGCAGTGCATCACATCTTACTTGAATCATTTTTGTTAGTTTTGTTGTTGTTGTCTTGGCAATTTTTACCTTCATCTAATTTAATCATTGCCAGGATTTACCTGAGAGACCCAACCGAGATAGAAAAATTCTAAAATAAAAAAGTGGACTATGATTCAAAGCCCAGAAACTAACATCAGAAACTAATGTCAGAATTCCCTGGAGTTCAATTTTTTCCCCATACTGAATACATTATAATTCACAGGCACCTTCTCCGATTGAGGCTCCCAGAGTTAGATGTCATTCTTGGTCAACTGCTCATCAGTCTTTGGACCGGCTGGCGAGAATAAGGTGAACAACCTTTGTTTTGTCATCTTCACCTGTTCCTATTGTTTTCTTTCTCCCGGTTAAAGAAGGAAAAACTAATCTAAGCTGTTTATAGAACCAGGCATGGAGGGAAATAACAACTTTACAGTCGCTGTCTGTCTGTGCTTGTTGGGACTTCTTGGGTTTGTAATGAAATTGGTTTATATAGGTTTGCTTTTATGAATATTACTGGATTGTAATACATCTACATTCAAGTGATAAAACAGTAACAAGTATTTGTATCAAAATATACAAGTATTACAGCAAAAAAACCTCAAACTGCATGAAAACAATAGTCTAACAGGAGAGCAAGTGTTATTTTTAAAAGTTTGTTTTCAATGGCATGTCACAGACAGGCACATTTCATTCATTCATTGCTTTAATATAAAAAAACAATCCTGAGGAAAATCTGAAAATCTGGCATTACTGCTGCCTCTAATCCCTTCAGAGTGGGATGAAAAAATGGCCTGAGTCACATTGCACTCATCTATAAAATACTGTAGATGGACCGGCCCAACAGAGAGGTGAAGAAAGTGCAGCCCCTGGACAGACGATGACCTCACTTTGCTATAATCACGTACATGTTAGATGCAGTCACTGGTAATCTCGGAGCATCTGAGGGAGCTGCGGCACAATCTCTGACCTGCTGTGGGCTTAAGGCTTTGAGGCAGCAATTATGGTCACAGTCTGGAGATGCTGGCCAGCAACATCTTTAAATACCCTCCGTCAGGACAAATCACCAAATCATATATGTGCCACTGACTTTCATTTACTGGACCTGAACTTCGTACTTCTTTTTTCTAGAACAGGGAGAGGAGCTAACTGAAAAATAATATGGCACTTACAGGTTTTCAGCACATTGACAGATCAGATCATAGTCTAAAATGTTTAGCATCTGTGCATGTGTGAGTGTGGAAGGACATGTTAAACCTACACGGCTGATAAGAGCACGGAGGATATTGCAGTAGTTGTCGAGCCAGAGCTGAAGTGGAGGACTGAGGAGAACAGTCTGCAGCAAAACAGTGCGAAGGAGGTGTGGAGTGGGATGAGAAAGATTGCTGGCTAAAGGCAGCCAGGCCAAATGGCTCAGTGGACCAGCGATACAGTGGAAAGAGTTAAAACATGTTTCCCTGTTGACACAGGGACTGCTCATCCCCATCACCGATGACAGTCCAGGCTGATGGGACACTGTGCTACCACCTACCCCGCGCCCGCTGCCAATCTTTCTGTTCCCTGCTGATGACTGCGTGGTTGATTATCCTACAACCCCTGTTGATCCTTTGTCACTTTAAAGGTCAACTCTGCAGCCCCGGGCCAAGCCTCCCGCATTCCTTATATGGCATCAGCCTCAGAAACTCATCTAGCACCTTTTCAACCTTAACGAACAGTTCGACATTCAGAAAACAACCTTATTTACTTTTTGGCAGCGTTAGATGAGAAGATCGATACCACTGTTATATTTGAGAGAGCGTTAGAGATGCTGGAGGAAGCTGATTCTCCAAACGCAGGCTATTTGTTCCAAAATGGGGGAATTTGCCACATTATAGCAGAAAAAAGGGACATACAAAAATATACACCAGTAAAGTGACATTAAGTAAACATGTAATACTTAAATAATAAAATATTACAAATATAAAAAAATACATATAGATGGACTACCACTAATTTATGCAGCATAACCAGAATAAATACATCTTAAGAATATATACAGTGAAACAGATTGCACATAAGCCATTGACTTGCACAAACAAAATTGACTTTAGTGGTCTCATCTAACCTTAAAAAGCAAATAAGCATATTTACGTGAATGTATTACTTTAACACATAGACTGTAAATAAAGATTGACAACATGACTGCTCCCCAAAAGTGAAGCCAAAGTGTCTCGCTCGCTGCAGTATAGACTATCAAACCTGGCCCCTTGTTATTGGATAAGACCGGGATTGATAAAAAGTCAAATTAGGGTACATTATAAATTCAGAGATGAATTGGAAGATCTCCATCGCCATCTTATATTGTCTAATTGTTGAAAATGGGACTCTGGTGCTATAATGGTAAATGGACTATTTCAAAAGTGCTTTCCCATCAAATTGACCAATCAGAGTGCTTTACTGCACAAGCTGCATTGATTTAGGTGAAAGGATCTATTGGCAGAATTTTAATGTAGAATAATCCTCATGATGTTTTCACTAGTTCATTTCATCTAACTTGTATGAATTGTAGTTTTCTTTAGCCCAGAAACGTCCCTTTATATTTAAATACTGTATATTAACATCGAGGGGACCCTCTCTACGGAGGCCGCCATGTTTTTTACATTAGTCCAGACTGGGGTGTTCAGCTGCAACATGCAACTTCAACACTAGATATCACAAAATTCTACACACTGGACCTTTAAGCCTCTGATTTGTTCGCAGAAAACAAACAGGGATCTTTAGGTGCTCTACTGACTGCCACCATACTGTGCATTTTGCTTCTTGCCGTATTGGCTCCAGTCTCAGGCCACTAGGCGGCTGATGAAGCAGGTGACTTGCACTAATGACTAATTCTTCAAGCTGTCTTCGACTGCCATTTGTAGACCTGTACTTACAGAAATCAGCATAATCTCAGTGAGCTACGAGAACATGACGCAGCCGCCATCTTTTCAACCATTTAAATCATGAATTGAATAACTGTATAATTAAACCTGAACATCTGCAGTTTTACATACGTCAACATATAAGGAATATGCTTAGACTGTAATTAACATATTTTACGTTAATTATTTTTTTCTTGATGTGCTGCTGCTGTATTTCTGGGCTATAGTTTCATTACATCATTCATTTTCTGAGACAGCAATTTTTAAGCACTGGAGCAGATGTTTATGAAACCTCTATTCATTATGTTCTTAACCACAGTCAGTTCTTCTTTGTTGTGGCCTGACATTATTGCTGCTTTAACGACTTTCAATCTGGGAATAATGAAAGTTTAATTTTGTCTCTTGTCATCTAATGCGTGCCATAATGCACACGCGCTATTGTTACTCTTTTATGAATGTGGAGCAAAACTCGCAGCCGCAGCGTTGCGTGGCTCGCTTCATCTTTATTCTGAATTTCATCAAGAGTGCCTAAATGAAAGCACCAGCTGACAGGGGAAACTGGCAGGCGTTACTGTGAATCCACTCCTTAGGGAATCTCTTCCCTTGCTCCCACCACAAATAAAGTGACATCTAAGGGAAGAAAAGGAGCCTTGTGCACCAGCAAAGATCGTGACTGGCGAGGGAGGAGTGGTTGGCGGCGGTGGGGGGGTATTTTTATGACAACTGGAGGCCTCTAAGGACATTTAACTGGTACGGCTCACTGTGTGCATCCAGCTTCAGCACCGGCACATGGCGCAGTGAAGCTAAAGTTAGCATTCTCTCTCTGTGCAGGGTGAATAGCTTGGAAACGCCAAGTCAACAATCAATTCAATCAGTTTGTCATTCAGTCAATATTTATCGGTGTGTTAATTATCACCCGGGTCACAGCTGTCTCATTCATACGCTCATTAACCTACTTCATCTTCAGCGTAATGGAAGCTTAAACGACTCACTCACAAGCTCACTAATTAACACATTGTGTCTTGTTTCTATTTTATCCATACAAAAGTGTAGAAACCATCACGTTGTGGTTTCACAGGGGGGTTTATGTGTGGGACTGTTTCTTGGCCAGGAGCAGCGGCTTCCTGGCGTCTGGGCTGCTTTGCTTTGGTGTTAATTAGTGAGCTTTGGTGGTGCTGGTAGGCGGACTTGTCGAACTATTATCTCGCTCACATAGTAACAGGTGAAGTAACAGAGAAAACCTCAACGCACCTGCCACAGAATTTGGCCGAGGCATCACGAGGGAGGAAGTGCTGTGCACGTGGTGCTGTGGGAGGGGCCTTTTTGGAGCTGGTGGCGTCCTGGGCTCCATGATGTCGGTCCGAGGTAAGGCCTCATCTGGGTGGGCGGTCAGATTGTCCTTCATCGGCCCAACATGGCGGTCCTCGCTGTCATGGCCCATTACACCAGCACCGCCCACCGGGCCTTCGTCCTTCGTCAGGAACTCACTGGAGGCGCTGCGCTCCTCATTCTCAGAGGAACTTGTGATGGTTGCTGAGCCGCACAAAGAAAAAATACAACTTAGTCAAGCAGCCAAACAGAGAAAATGAATCAGCTGAAATTCCCTTCAACAAATCCCATATACTGGATAAACAATGAAATACAGCTAAGTGTTCAAAACCCATCATTCAACGAGTTATTGTTGTAGTTGTACTTGACGCGCCCTTTGCCCCTTTTGTATTTAACTATAAATACAAACTCTATTTATGGAGAAAAAAGTGTCCTATTTTAGGAGAATCAGAGCCATAAGCAACAAAGACAGCAGTGTCCCAGTTTTGACAGGAGGGAGCTGAAGGCTTGAGGCTGAAGTGGCACAAGCAACACAGAGAAACTAGCTGTGGGGTTGTATGAGACAAGGACTTAAAACCAAGTGATGCTGCATCTACCTTCCCATCAGCATGCAGGAAGGTATGGCACCTCATCAGTCACATCTGGGATTTCTGATAAGTGCTTCCACGCTAAGTTAATATGAACTGTTGATGTTTTTTAGCCACATTTTTTAAATTTTACCTCTGGTGATGCATGGTCAAGTTTTTCTATTAGACACGCTCCGCCTAGTGTAATAACAAATCTGAGTATGAGTAGATATCATTTGACCTGGCGATTCAAAGCAGCAGCAGCCGCTCTCACCTATGATTCCACTGTCCTTGCTCTCCAGGGTGGAGGTGGGGCTTTGAGAGAGGGGCCCAGGGCTGCTCTCGGGGAAGGGTCCTGGGGCAGAACCGGGGGCAGGGCTGGGTACGGGGCTGGAGAGAGTTCCACTGGGGCTGGTGCTGGAGCTGCACTGGGGTGAGGGTAGGGGTAAAGGCTGGGGCGGATGTGGGCCTCCAGCACTGGTGCTCAAAGTAGAAGAGGGGCTCTCTGAACAGGGGGAGGCGGTGCTGCAGGTCAGAGTGGAGCTGGGACTCCCCCCCTGGGCAGAGGTGTCACACTGGAGGGAAACATAAGATAAAGATAAATAACCAAAGAGGATAAGTGTATAGAGACAAAAAAAATCAAAAGAAAGAGGAGCAAGAGAAACACACATACAATAAGTTATAGTCTTTTTTTAAAAGAAGTGGTAAATTGACAGTGTCAGTTCCCTTCCCTTTAAACAACATCCCACTGTGCATGACAGTGTTTGCCTCTATGCACACTATTTTCCCTGATTGTGAGTATTTGAGTGTGCACGCAGATGGTAAATGAAATGATAATTCCAGTTATTTTCATCCTGGCTGTCATTTTCCCAGTTTTGCATAATGACGGCTGGTTGTGCTGAAAAACAAAATCACTCGCTGCAGACATTCACAATTTGGGATAAAAATCACTGCACAAGCATTCTGCTGTTTGTTCCCCGCACTGGGCCAGATTTTCACAAAGACCAAAACGAAATGTGAAAGATTTTTCCACAAAAGTCAGGGTGTATTTGAAGTATAGAAATGAACACAGCATCAGAACGCTCCAGTGAGGGTGTGGGTTAAAATTTCACATCTGATTCCAAATTATGTGCAAGTTCCAGGGAAATTGTAAATCTGACGGTGGATGAAAAGCACCATCACAGTTTGAGTTACTCTGTAGGGAGCAATGCATTTCCTTTTTGGAGTTGGCACTGTTTGTGTTTTGGATCGCAACTTGGAGCAACTGTGCGTTAAAAGTTTGACAGTAAAGCAAAATACAAAGATAAAACACAGATTATTTTCCAAACAGTAATAATGAATCTCCATGGTATCATATCTATCGACAAAGAGTAAAGAACCTCTACACATCTTATATAAAACATATTGCAACCTAAATTGTATTTTGTGCTTTGAGCAGGATCTTTAACAACAGATATTTGTATTTAATGTTCATTACAATACTGAAATCCTCAGAGGAGACCATGCATCTTTAAAACTGTGAGAAATTCTTAATAAATGGTCATGTGAGGGGAAAAAAAAAAAAAAAAAAAAGTATTAGTCTTCCGTGATCACGTACAATTCAGGTCTCTTCATTACTGATGCAACGTTTCTGCAACACAAAGACTGTAGGGATACAAGGCAGCTCACTGTTATTCCCTTTATACCAGAGCCTCATCTATCTTAGCCAGGACAACCCACATTCCTCATATGAACCTCGCTATCTCTGTGAAACTGACTGAATCTGGAGCTCAGGTGGTGGAATGAGGCTGAGAAAATGGGCCAAGGCTGAGCAATGCAAAGGCTCGGAGATGGAGAGACATAAGCACATGCGATAACTCTAATGCAGAAGGGTTCAACTAACAGGGCACTGAGTAGAGCCCTGAGGAAGCTGCAGGACCATAATTAATAACGTTATAAAATATATATCGATCCATTCCTCTAAGGGGGGTTTGAGTGGTCAGATCGCACACAGTATTTAATGTGGTGTTACAAATGATCTTTAGTAAGAGATACTTCAATGTTTAAAGGAGACGTTAAGGCTACGGTGGCTAAAAAAAGAAGGTCATTTCATAAATCATTAATTGACTTTGTATTTGACTTGACAGCAAAGGGCCAGTGAATCAATATGCTGCCTTACCTTCTTTTCCCTCCTGTCCTCCATAGGAGAGCTAGCAGGTCCAGGCGTTGCTTCTCCCAATAAGAAGCATAGTCTGGTCATCAGTTCCTGGGTAGAAAGGGAGGAGCCCAGCTGGGGCTCCACGTGGAGGTCTGGGACACACACACATTCAGGACACTTGGATTAACGGGCAAATAGTAGCAGGGCTGGCCTCATCAAACCACCATCCAACTCATGCTCTCGTTTCAGCTCGCTCAGCATCACTGCAAGAAATGCATGCATCCACAGGTCAGCACTGCCCCAGCTGCCCTGATTATCAATGCAGAGACAGTGACTTTCCAGTCCCTGGTTGAGGCAACAGCAGCAGCAGCAGCAGCAGCAGCAACAGCAGCAGGGGTTGTGTGAGGTTGCGAGTTTGCCTTTGCACACGCCTGCCAGGTGCTCTCAGTGAAGGGACAGGTCGTGAATTTCAATGAGCCTGGTGTCGACTTTGGAGCAGGGAGAAGGAGTGCCCTGCCTCGGCCTCGGCTGTTGCTCCTGGAGAGATTGGCCTGACCCATGTGCTGCATTCTGTTTTAATGCTGTGGCCTCCAACCCGAGCTCCTCCAAGATCCACACCCACCTCCGCAGAGTCAGGCTTCTCAAATCTCTGCGCTTCACCCAGCCGAGCGATACGTCCCCTGCGTCCTCACACCTCATCTATGTACTGTTCTCAGCTGAGTAACATGCATATTGAGTAGGCATATAAACAGGATGACAGGACACCACAGATTACAGGAACAGCTCACTCCCCCTCACAAGAATCTTTGCGTTCAGACATGACATTCATTTCACTCTTGCTGATTCTTTCTTGTTCCCTCTTACTTGTTCGCCATTCCCTTTCGAAAGGTACCTCACTCTTGTGTTCAACCCAATTGTGTGACAAACACAAGCTGAGAGGATCAGTAATGAGAGACATGCATGGTCACTTTTGTTTCCATAAGGTGCCCCAGTTGTAGCCTTTGTCACGCTTCACAGCTTGAAACGCTGCTGAAGACTTGGGCAGGGAGGATGGATGTGTCTTTCAGAGAGGAGGGAGGGGAGAAAACTTTGCATTTAGTCAGCAGAGCACCCAATCTGGAGTAACATGAGGACACTGAATGTCCAGTACTGTTCATCAAACCACCTAGCAGTTGCCATTGGAAACGGGAAGCTGAGAGGTGCCTGGCAACCGCGGTGGTAGATGCTTCATAAAATCTGTTTAGCCTAAGGGAAACCTTCTGGTCAAAGACACAAAAGAATGCTGCCGGAGTTTTGGATGTTACGTTATTATTACTTTAATCTTAACTGGACGCTGAAGGTGCAGAGAAGTCGGGGCAAAGACTCTGAGATAAAACAAATGCACTCTCATTGATACAACACGGATTACATGGACAACACTGTCATCACACAGCATCACACATCTGAGAGGACAAACTTGAAGCAAAGCCTTTTAGGTGCAATTAAAACACATGAACATTCACTTTCTGCTGTATCTCATTCATTCTAACCTCACCTCTGCCTCATTCATCCTCATTCATCCTCCCTGATCCATACCTGGAAAAAACAAGACATGATGCTAAACACACGCCCACCCGCTCCTGTTCTCACCTCTGTGGTCTGTCTTGCCACGGCACGAGGCAAAGACAAGAGGTTCCCTCGCACTGGAAGAGCCCTCCTCATACTCAAGCTTCTTTACCCGTCCTTTGGCCACGGCGAAGAGGGAGCGGGGAGAGGGAGGGAGAGCAGGCAGGCAGAGTGGGAGGGAGGGAGGGATTGAGGGTGGAGATAGGGAGGGATATGAGAGAGAGAGAGAGGGAGAGATTAAACCTCCCCAGATGAGATCTGTGGTGCAGAATTTGAATTGTGTCCCAGGAGTATAAAGCAGTATGAACAGATAGAGAGCCACACATGGAAACAGTATATTCCCTGCACCGTGGGTGTTTATCTATAATATATTTACTCTGCAAATGTGTATGTGTGTGTGTGTGTGAGAGAGAGAGATGACAGGGACAGTGGTGCACTTCCATTGATGTGTGTGGGTGTGTCTCAATTTATGCATCCGAGGGTTCTTGGAAGCACAGACTCTTCAGGACTGAAGATCGCTGAGGATGAGATGTTTGCTTTAATACTCAAGGTTATTCTGTGTGTGATGCTGTGGATACAAACTCTGTATCGGTCTCTAGCCTGCAGTTTGATGTTTGATTTGGAATGACCATCAAAGGCACGAAAAACATGACACTGCATATTTTTACTCGCTGTAATTTTCCTCATCATGTTCGCTCAGTGTACTGGGAGGAAGAAAAAAGAAACACAAGGCAGTGCTGCATGCAGTGATATGTAATAGCACCTTTTTCTCTGAATGGCTGTACTTGCTACAGGACACTGCCACCTAGTGCTGCGTTTATGGGGAGGCACCACAGGTAAACATGGGGTTTGGTTTTTGTGATTTTTACAGTTTTAATAACGAAATAGTAAAGTGCACATGCAGGGATATTTTGGGCTTAGTTTAGTTTAGTTGAAAGGATGAAATATTAATGTGGCATCGCAGAAAAATCCAACTATCCATTTTTGACTGTGGTCTAACATGATTTTAGGATATTAAGTTCCTCTCTCCTCAATCATGTGTTTCACTTATTGCTGCTTTATTTTGAATTTTAAATGATGCATGTGCAGAGTCTGAATCACGTTTATCTGCTGAAGGAGGAAGGTCTCGTACAAGTATCATTGTCAAAGTCATTGGTCCCGTGTGCAACTTAGACAAGTGGGATGTTGAAACCTGAGACCTCCAGTTCACTAACACTGGGACTGAGACAAAGGAGACATGTGCTGTACGGTGATTTAACATTTACTAATCAAAACGAAACATTTATACATTCATAGCTTATGATTTTTCAATGGGTGAGAATAATTGCATGATATTTTTAACAAGGTAGCTGACTTTTTTTTGGTGAAACCTTTTCTTATACATCTGCCAACGGGGTTATGCTTTCACCACTGTCTGTTTTTTCTTGGTTGGTTTATTTGTTTGTAAGCAGGATTATATAAAAACTACTCAGCTGATTTCCATGAGCTTGTGAAGGGTTAGGGTAGTACAGTATCACCGGCATGACCCAAGAAAAAACACCTTGGTGTGGATCCCAGATCAGAGGGCTGATCCAGGATTTATTTTTACTGATTTACCCAATAATTAATGGATCTTAATGAAAAAGGACTGTTGGGCTTTTTTGTTATTATGATTATTCTTGCAGAGATCAGCGATGAAATGGAAGCGCCACGTGGTTCAGCACAGGAATCAAAAGAGAAATGCTCAATTCACAGCTTTCTTTGTGAAATGAAAGCATCGAGGCGTATGTGTACTGCAGCACATGTGATGAATATGACAGCAAGTTTTTTGAGACATGATTTTTATCAGGACTTAATGGATTTTTTCTTCCTATTAGGAAATCTAAAATCCGACCTAGCTAATTGGGGTTCCTTGCCTTAAGTTATCTTGTTCAATCATTTACTCTGACAATCTGTCACATGTTCTCGGGCCCTGAGGGTACACGGTCCGCGAGTTCTTGTATTTTCTGTCACATGTATGAAACAGCTGAACGCTCAGAAGCTTCCTGTTAATCAAAGCAAACCCATGAAAGCATTCTGCTATTTTTTGCAGCTACTCCCCATGGCACACATCTTCTTATCATTCTCACTTGTTCATACTGAAACCAAGCTTTGTTTGCATCACTATCTGCGTTTCAGATCAACCCACCTTGGAACTTAATGCAGGATTGGGAGGAGGCCATGTCGGTCTGGCGAGGGAGAAGAGGTGAGGACGGTAAAGAGATGGACGTACCCCTGGTCAGTCTCATTAGTTTTACCGAGCTGTCGGCGTAGCTGCTGTCGTGCTCCTGGAGGCGTCTGGCACGTCCGGTGCCGCTGCCTCTCTGCAGGGTGCTGTGATTGTGCACCTCAACACCTACATGGAAAAACAAATGGGTGCGTGTGGAGAAAAGGTGGAGAAGAGCAGGTGTTAAGGTTGAGGGAGCATTATTTAGAAAAGCTTCGACATGGTTAAAAAGACAGAACCGTGGCTGAACAGCAGCTTTAACATATGTCTCACATAAGGCTGTGACAGAGCAGACATGTCTTGTCTTGAAGGCATGTTGCAGAATGAAGTGATGGAAAGTTGGCAATGACAGAGCATCTATTTTAAGGGAAAGGGATCAGATTCAATAATGAAGCTGCACTTATTATACTTTAATTTGATATTTTAATCATTTTTATCTCTCCTCTTATTGCAGACATCTCCAATGCCAGGTGATCACTTGTTCACCAGATAATATATTATATTCATATGTCACCAGATTTTAAT